GACTCTGGTCAGGTGTTTGAGGTGGCGCTGCAGAACAGCTCCTCCAAGCGCAGCCCCCAGTTTGCGGGCGTGGAGCTGCTGCAGTCCTTCAAGCTGCTAATCATTCCCTGCTACACCCTCGTGGCTCTGGTGGGCGTCTTTGGCAACTACCTGCTCCTCTACGTCATCTGCCGCACTCGCAAGATGCACAACGTCACCAACTTTTTCATTGGAAACCTGGCTTTCTCTGACATGCTGATGTGTGCTACGTGTGTCCCCTTCACACTGGCCTACGCCTTCAACCCACACGGTTGGGTGTTTGGTCGCTTCATGTGCTACTTGGTGTACCTCATACAGCCGGTGACGGTGTACGTGTCAGTGTTCACCCTCACTGCCATTGGTGTAGACAGGTAAGTCACAATGAGTCAGAATGCAGTGGGAAAAACTGTAAGTAAACCTCCAGCATCTTGCTGACATGCAGCATGCTGTGTCTGTGAGAAACAATGAACAAACAAGGACAAAAAACTTTTCATCATGAGGCGTTTGTAAACCAGCTCTAGTTATCCCTCAAAAACAAAGCTAAATATAGCATTCATTTTGCACACAACACCTAACAATGACTCACTAACTCAAAGAAAATAGACACTTTCAGCAGCCGCTGTTTTGACATGCAGTGGCAGGATAAACGGTAATTGTAATTACCATTTTGATGGTCCAGGACCCCCTGCTGCTTGCTTGCTTGCTTGAATGACTGTGAAACACTAAATAGCATGGCACCCTAACTGATTGTTATCAATAACACCTGTGTCTACCTTGCCATGCTACACCACGCATCAGTCTAGCTGCTGTATGAAGGACCTAGTGAACAAGTTTCTGGCTTCAGATGCAAATTCACCTTGATGTGGTGAGTTTTTATGTCATCTGTAAAACCAACAAAGATTGTTTTTCTTCTTAAATGCAAACATGACATGAATGTGCACAATGGCTCAAAAGACAGAGGACCAGAAACACCAGAAAAGGGTGAAAGTCCAAAACCTGAGACTTTAAATCAAGCAGGTGGTCACTGCGGCAAAAAGGCAGACCCTCAAATCTAAAACAGGTGAAGGTCATTCATGACAAGAACTTACAAAGAACACAGTGGTATCTCCCCAAATGCAATACAGTATTAAATTATTTGGTTTTAGCTAAAGTGTGCATCACCTACTATTGATGTACAACTTCACTGCTTTGTAAAGTAGACCTATCGTGCTCTAAAGCAGCTCTGCATGATTCACAGTTCAAAATAATCCTTAATTACCCTATACCACACCTTGTTTTAACCTGTATTCATTTTGAGTCATCTGCCCTCAAAACTGGGTCGTATTCACAATCAAGGAGAAAAACAATCTTTATTGATTTTACAGCTAACACAAAAAATGACTACATTGAGGTGCAACTGTGGAACTTCTGATCTGGCTCTTAAACACCAGATTTGAAAGGCAGGTGGGCGGGGCTTCGGTGCTCACAGACAGAGCTGTCTGCCTACGATGACTGTACTTTCACTAATGTCTTACAGAGCAAGAGTAGAAAAATTGAATATAACTCTGTGTAAAAGTGAGGGATCCAAAGCTTGAGCTTTGAGCTTGTTTATTTATTATCAACATATGTTGTTGTTGCACATATGACAGAAAATAAGGAAAGACATTTGAAGCTACTCTACTCGTCTAAATTTTCTGCACTAATTCAATCAGTTTAGTGCTATCTAAATGTGCGTCTGTCTGAATGAGGACATTATGGTTAAGTGAAGCTCTGTCGGACTGGTGTATCTGTTTCAGTAACCCAGCACACATCTAGTCTTATCCATTCACCTTGGTTGCAGTGGCAGAGCTGAATTAGATTTATTATTTGTGAAGCTTAAAACATGATGTTACTTTTCTGGTAACAGACAATTTAGTATTGATGTTGTGCTGCTGCCATTTTTCAGCCTGTATTATCCGTTGTCCTTAACAGCATACGGTAATTTGTGCGCTGATTGCTGTCGCTCATATTCACTGGTAAATGTTGTTCGTCTTTGCCCCAGCCAATTACTGATTCCATCATTTTCTATCCATCTTTCCTTTGCTCCTTTTTACTCATGGACTCCGCAGATACTATGCCACGGTGCACCCTTTAAAAAAGCGGATCTCGGTCTTGGCGTGCACCTACCTCCTGTCTGGGATCTGGCTGTTGTCCTGTTGTCTGGTGGCCCCGGCTGTGGCTCACACCTACCACGTGGAATTTAAAAACGAAGGCTTCACCATCTGCGAGGAGTTCTGGATGGGCCAGGAGAGGGAGCGGTTGGCCTACGCCTACAGCACTCTCTTCATCACCTATGTCCTGCCTCTGTCGGCCCTCTGCATCTCTTACCTGTGCATCTCCGTCAAACTGCGGAACTGCGTCATACCCGGCCACCACACAGAGAGCCAGGCAGAGGCTCAGCGCGTTCGCAAACGCAAGACCTTCCGTCTGGTGTCCCTGGTGGTGGCGGCATTTGGCATCTGCTGGATGCCCATCAGCGTGTTCAATGTCCTGCGTGACATTGACATCGATCTGATCGACAAGCAGTACTTTCTACTCATTCAGCTGCTTTGCCATCTGTGCGCAATGAGCTCATCCTGCTGTAACCCTTTCCTCTACGCCTGGCTGCACGACCGCTTTCGAGCTGAGCTTCGCAAAATGTTCACGTGCCGCCGTCGCATTGGCATCTCAGCCAACAACTGCGCCACAGCCAGCGTGGTATTGTGAAGCTTTTGTGTTTTAAGCTGAAACTGGGTACCCTCACTCATCTCATTTTGGTAAAGCAGTGATAACATTTAAGGCAGTCAGAATTAGAGTAGCCTAGGCATAGATGGGATAGGGTAGGAGTCTAATGTATGATGATCCAGCACTTACCCGGCATCCATATGATATACAAACTAAATTAGTAGGATACTGTCAAACATGTCCCTGTGTTGTTGATCAGACAGAGATATAGCATTACAATCCAGAGATATGCTCCATCACTCCTCTTTTCAAACTCTCCAGGATTGTTTAACACAATACGATGCTTTAGGAACAGGAAATAAGTTTACTGGTACTGATTTTCAAGAACAAGGGTGATGTGCAGAGCTGTAGAGGAATAAAGCTCATGAGCCACACCATGAAGAGATGGGAAAGACTGGTTGAAGCTAGGCTGAGAAAAAAGGTGGTGATAAGCGAGCAGCAACATGACTTCATGTAGAGAAAGAGCACTACAGATGTGATGTTTGCTTTGTGTTGTTGGAGAAGTGTAGAGTGGGTCAGATAGAGTTGCACTGTGTCTTTGTGGATCCAGAGAAAGCATATGAAAAGGTGTCAAGAGAGGCTGTGTGGTACTGCATGATGGAATGAGGAGTGGCAGAGAAGCATGTGAGGGTGGTGCAGGACATGTAAAAGAACAGCAAGACAGTGGTGAGGTGTGAGATAGGAGTAATGGTTCCAAGTTTGGGGGTGAGATTACATAAGGGATCAAGTGTGAGCCCCTTCTTATTTGTACTGGTGATGGGCAGTCTGGCAGAGGAGGTCAGGTCAGAGGAGTCTCTGTGGTGTCTGTGATGCTTGCAGATGATATTGTGATATGTAGTGAGAGTAGGGAGCAGGTGGAAGATTCGTGACAGAAGGATAACAGCAAGAGTGAAAAGGAAAGTTTGCAAGATGGCAGTGAGACCTGCTATAATGTGTGGTTTGAAGACGTGCTGGTGACAAAAAGACAGGAGGCTGAGCTGGTGGTAGAATTGAAGATGCTAAGAAAGGAATTACCAGGAGGGACAGGATTGGAAATGAGCATGCTAGAGGGACAGCTCAGGTTGAGCAGTTTGGAGACAGGGTTAGAGAGAGACAAGCTCGAGAGGGCTTGAGAGGGTTTGACATGTGCAAAAAAGGGATGGTGGATATATTGGACAAAGGATATTAAAGATGGAGCTGTAAGACAGGAGGAAAGAGACAAGAGAAAGGTAGTGTGACAGAGGATGCTGGGGATGAGATGGAGGGAGATCTGCTGTGGCGACCCTTAAAGGGAGCATCCAAAAGAAGAAGAGAAAGATTTACTTTTAGCATCTTTTTAAAATCTAGGATTTTATGAAAATAATATAAAAATAGAATCCCAAACATGTCCTCTTCACAAAAATACAGTAAAATGCAAATATTATAGATTTGAATTTTAAGGAGCTCAGTCCCAACTCATTTATTTATCATCCATGCAAGAGAAGAGGCTGTAAGCATAAGATCATTGTTGTTCAGCATCATATGTAAATAAAATAAAATAAATTATGATACCTGGAAAGTATGAAACGTAAAGTTACTAGACTTGGTACTGGGTGAGGAACATCTACAGTCTTTAATGAAATAATGTCAAATAGATCACGTATTTTCCGTAGTTTCCAATAAGTTATGAAGGATTTGAAACATATTTAAGAGCGCTTGATTGAGCGCTTAATGTTTAATAAGAGTGCTTCACCTCTAGAGGGCGCCACATATGTGAAAAGTTCAATTGGCTGCCGTTTGTGTGAACTAGGGTCATAACAGTCAGTTCCTAAAAAGTGAGTATGATTGCTTGCAATGGCATGCAAATACATTTGAAGATATTTCATATATATATATATATTGCGCGTGATGGCTTTGCCCTCAGCTTTCGTGGCATCCCAGCTTTCTCCACCGTCTCAGTTTTGAATCCCCACGTGCCCAACTCTTACTTGGCATATTCACAGCAATTCGTACGTGTTCAAGCGCTTATTATTTATCAACAGCTGCTGATTGTTTGAGTGCTACCATATGCCTGAACTCTGATCGCTACAGCTTGAGGTGATTTTCTGCCATTTAAACTGTAAAGCCTCGAAATATATGTACACTTCCTTTCCCGATCAGCTTTGCAGCGCAGCTATGGCTGCAGACCCATTTACATTTACAATGCTTTAACTGCCGAGAACAACGCAAAAGACTGAGAATATTGTGAAAAAGTAAACACGCTCAAATGCAATGTTATTGTTCTGGATAAAAGTCAGGCAGCGTGTACAATAAAACATGCTATGTATGTTACCATGGCTACATTGCTTTTTCATCCTTGTGGGTATGGAGATAAGCATAAAATAAACCTGCCAGAAGTTGGAAAACACCGAACATCTGGAATTGTTAGTGCAATTAGAACCTTCGCCGAGAGCTAAATAATTATTATGTAAATATTTCATTTAGTTGTGTGGTATATTACTTGCAAACACACAATGGTGGTAAACGACTACATGCACAGTCCAGAGGCATAATTAGTGTCTTTATTTGAAAATAAACACAGCGGTTTCAGACATTTACATCAGCTGTAATATTACAAACACTGGATAGATCAGACTGTACATGCAGTGAGCTCTCACTCCAGAAAAACAACAGATCATACATGAAAAGAAGGTCTGGAAGGCACAAGTCTGGACAGACATACTGATTAATATTGCTATCATTACGGCCATGCTATCATCAAACAGTTTTAGTTTGTAAAGGCATCATTAGTGAAGATCAAACATAGAGACAAGGCGACTTACTAAAACGAGTCTTTTACTCTGATCTTGATTTTTAAATTACTTCACAAAAAACAACAAAACACATCACAGTGCTCAAAGTTTCTAATTAATTTAAGGAGAACAGGAAACTGCAGCATAACTTGCATAATATTTGAACTATGAGCACAATGGAGACAAAATTGCTTAACTCTGTATACAATTCAAAATCTGCTGAGAACATAGCAGCTGCTCTATTTTAGTCGATGCTGGTTTTCTATGTAAGACTTCTCTGAAGCAACAATAGGCACAGTGTCTTTAAGGACTGGATATCCAGGTGACATTCATATGTGGCGAGTACAATATGACTGCTGTTAAGTGGTTAAAAGAATACATGCTTTCATAAAGATGAGGCAAAGAAAATAAAAATAAAGACTTTAGTGGAGGAAGACAACATACATGAATGATTTCAGTGATTATTCACTACACAGCAAAACTTAGAGGCTGCTCAGTGTAGACTTAAAAAAAACTACTTTATTAAATAAAAGTTGAATCCAGTTTTCATTAT